AAAATATTTTTATAAATAATTAATTTTAATTTTATTTATTTATTTTAAATGTATTAAAACTTTATATTTTTTTTATCACAAAAATGATCCTAAGATATCATTTAATAAATCAATAAAAAAAATTTTAGTCAGCTTAGTTTTACAATAATAAACTAAATCGTTATAACTCTATATACAATATATACACTAATAAATTAAATAAAATAAATGTATTTATTTTAAATATTAAGGCTGGCCTCTGATTGACCATAATTATGAATCTAGTTGAATTTATATATAAATCTATAATACATATTATAAAATTTATATAGTAAAATTAAATGAGCTATATTTTGGCAACTAGTAATTCAAAATGTTATCTCTATATATGGATTCGAATAGTAATTATTTTATCTCAAATAGATTAATATTGACAAAATTATTAAATTTTGAGTTTTTAATTAAAAATTTTAGATTTGATTAGGTTGAATATCATACTTGACCTAATTTGAACTTTTCAGGTTAACCTATTAGATCATTCTATCTATTAGATCAAATTCAAAGCTCTAAGTTTGAATACTAATTAAATTAATAATTTTTAATTTTAAAAATTATTCTTAATAAAAATCATAAAATATATAAAATTTTAGTAGTATTTAATTCAATATTAATGTTAAAAGATTCTTTTTAATTATGATATTTTTTTATTTGATATATTAATTCTTTTTATTTGATATTATTTTTTACATTTTCATAAAAATTTCATCTATTATTATTAATAAATTTCTATAAATTCTATTATTATTTATATTATTTATATTATAATTTTTTAAATGTAAATTATATTATTTTTACATAAAATACTTTATTATTAATTTTTTTTAAAAAAATAAGCATTTAAATTTTCTATTTAATAATTTTTTATATATTACATTATTACTAAATTATTAACTTATAATTTAAAAATATAACTATATAATTTTATTAATTATTAAATTATTAATAAATAACTTATAATAAAAATATTATATTTAGTTTAATTATTAATAATTATTTATATATAGAATTATAATCAATATAATCTAAATTTACTAGTATAAAATAAATATAAGAAAAGTATAATATAATATATTAGATTAGTAAATTCAGCATAAAATAATTAAAATTTGAAATATATTAGTAACAAAAAATTTTATAATCATTATTAGGTAATTTAATTGTAATTTCAAGTTTTACAAGTTTAAGAAAGTAATCAGCAAGAGTGCAGAACTGAGATTCTAATTTTACAATTAATTGTTTAATTGAATATAATATAAATGTTAATATACATTGAAACTGGTAGAAACTGACAGACCAGTCGTATATGATAAATCTGCCAAATCTGTCATATCTGCCAAAAAGGAATACATAATATTTATTATATCTCTATTATTTATATTACTATTATCATTTATATCGTATCTAATATAATTAGCATATCTGTTAGCTCTATTATTATTGTCAGTAGTATCATATTTACCATAGATTTTCTTAATTGTAATTTTTCAATATAAAGGATATGAAAATGCCTTGGAAAAAGGACAGATTTCAACAAGTTCTTAACATTGTATTTGATATACATTTAATAACAATAATAAACATATTTAACATTTGCAAACATAAAACTTATAATTTATTTCTTGTTAACTAAATAAACACTTTAATAAATAGCATGTCAAGTTGATTGAATTTAAGTCATAGCTATTGCCTCACTAACTTCAAATTATAGTTAACTTATTTTATAGAAAGAGTAACGTTAACAACATATATTATCAAAAAATATATATAATTATAAAATTGCTGATATTATTATTGAAAGAATTTTAGGTTTTTTATATTTTAATTAAGTAAAAATAAGAAAATTACTTCGTATTTATTATTTAGTAATTAAAATGAATTTAAAATATTTTTAAGATCTTATATTTTCTAATAATAATAATACTTTATATATTATTATTAGGTTCATTTTTAGTTATTTTAAAATTTAAATTAAAATATTATGGTAATTAATTCTATATATTAGAGTTTTTGATCATAAGATGTTCTCTAAATCCTATAGGTATCTATTATATTTGAATTAACTTAATAATTTATTATATCTTAGAATTTAAGATATATTTAGTTAAATTTGTAATAATAAATTTAATAACAAGTTAGTGTAAAGTATCACAACAAATTTTAAATGAAAGATAATATTAAAGGAAAAAGTAATATATATAAATTTAAATTGATTTCTTATTAATAATATTAAAATTTATAGTAATTTATAAATAAGTTTATAAAAAAAGTTATTTTATTTATATAAAAATTAATTTTTTATAGCTAACTATTTGTTATACTATAAATTAATTAAATATTCTAATAAAATATACTTAAGAATAATAAAATAATAAAATAATAAAAGATAATAAAATAAATTACAAATGTTAAAAAAATTATAGGCAAAACAAAATAAATAGAATAAATAAACTGTTTAGAAAATACAAAAAAAAACAGAAAAAATATAAATTATTATTAATCACCATTTAGTATAATAGCTTTAAGAAATTTTGTTTTCTTATTATGCAGTAACTGCATAGTACTTATTAGATTATGATTATTTTTAAGTAAAATAGTAATTATATATTTAATATATAATCACTTTATAATTACTATGTATTAAAAATGAGATTATTATTAATTGATAAATTTTACATAATATTTTAAGCTATAATTTCTTTTATTAACAATATATAATTAAAATAATATAGTCATATATAATATGCTGTCTAGTATCTATTTATCTTTTTAATTTGCTATCACTGATTTTAATTGCTTTTTTAATGTAAAACTTTTTTATTAAAAATATTAATAAGTAAAATTGATACTAGAAATAAAAAAAAATAATAAAATAAAATTAAAAAACAAATTATTTTCTTAAAAACTTTTTTTTAAAATATTTTATAAAGTATTACATTTTATAAATCTGATTTATAAAGCAAATATTCTTTAAAATCAAATTAATAATATATGTCATATAATACTATTAATATTATTAATTCATTTGTAATACATTTCGAATATTTGCTTCTGAAAAAATTTTAAAATTTAAGATTAATTAATAGAATAAAGCATTGAGTTTGCATTTTTTTTTAGCAATTTTAGGGTCAATTTTTCAATTTTTTATTTTATTTTATTTATTATTTTTACATATTTTAGATAATTTTAAAAAAAAATAAATCATATTTTATTATATACTTTATTATTTTATTTATTTATTTTTATATTATTTAAATATTTAGATAATAGTAATATTATATTTATGATAATTTTAGAAGTGTTTAATAGGGAAATAAATTTTATTTTATATTTTATTATCTTTTTACATAATTTTTTTTATTTTTTAATAGAAATTAATTAGTGGATTTTGATAATATTTTTATTAAATTTTTGCAAATTTAGATTTTTATTATTAATAAATTTTAATATTTGATAAATTTAATTAAAAATTTACTGATTTTATATATTTATTTAACTGAATTAATATTATATAAGACAATTTTAGGCTGATTTATGATTATTTAAGTTTTAAATTGATGTTAAAGTGCTTGTCAAATTGAAATTGATTGGTAATATTTTAGGCTGATTTATGATTTAATTTAAATTTTAAATTGATATAGAATTGAAGTTAATTTTAGGCTAATTTATAATTGAATTTAAGTTTTGAATTGATATTGAATTGCTATATCTGATTAAAATTGATAAGTGATGATTTAAATAATTAGTAAATAATCATAAAATATGATTAATCAGCTATAAATAGTATTAAAAATAGCTTAAATTCAGCTATCAGATTTCTAGCTGATTTGGATAGGATTGAAAAGTTTTTATTAAAGATAAAAAAATTAATAGATTTGTTATAATTTATAAAATTAGTACTTATTTATTATTATTATTATAAATAGTAATTAGGTTGTATGACAAAAATGTCAATATCTTTATAATCTAGAAAATATTTAAATGTTTAATGTAAAATAGAAAAAATAGAAAAAAGTAAATATTAAAACTAATTTTAAAAAAAAAGATTATTTATTGATGAAAAAAGCAAAATTAAAGAAATAAAAATAAAATAAAATTTTCTGAAAAAAGAGAATAGAATAATTAGTAATATAAATTTATCAAAATATAATTATTAAAATAAATAAAGTTTATAAATTTCAAAACTTTACAGAAAGTTTGCATTTACAATTTTGAACAGCCAGTTTAATATCATTTGCTAAAAAAAAAAGAAGTTATTAGTAAGCATAAATTTGTTAAATGTCAAAACTTTTAAAGAATGTTTGTATTTACCATTTGCTTTTAGCTGAAGTTTTAGACCTTTTCTTTCTTATAAGAAGAAAATAAATTTAGCAAAGCAAAAAAAAAAAAAAATAAATTTTAATAACAAGTATAATAAATATCATACTTTCTTATAAATTTCTTCGTTTCTAAATATGTTTTGTCCTTGGGTAATCAATGTCATATTCATTTTTTAAAAATATATATATAGTATTAAAATATACTGATAAATCCCAGAATCTGGTATTAAATTTTTCGCAATATTCTCAAACAAGTTTACTTTTTTTGCCTCAAGGATCTAGTTCATAATAATTTTAAATAAAAAAGAAAAAAGAAAAAATTATATATAATGTATTTTTTTTTCTTTATTACCATTCTTATAATTTTACTTACATCATACTTGACTATTAATAAGCTAAATTTTCTCTAGTATTGAATGCTAGAAAAATTTATTATTGACATTTTGGGTCAGAACGGCCTAAGAATCCTTCTTTGATGTACCCGAGTATTATGATATTCCTAAAATAATTTTACAAATTAAAAAGTAATTGATATAATATATTGATATAATATATTAAAATATTTATCACATTTTTATTTTTTTGCTCTTTAATAAGGGTCAGTAGCCACTTTTGACTTTACTCAAGGTAACTTTCAGCATTTTTTTAAGAAGCAGGAGTACGAGAAGAAGTTGAGGAAGAAGAGGCAGGAACAGGAGAAGTTAAAGAAACTATATTTTAAAAAAACTTGAAGTATTTGATGACGATTTAAAAAAAATTAAAATTAAAAAAAATAGTAACTAAATAATAATAACAAAAAAATAAAGTTAAAGTCAAATCGAACCCACCCGTCACGAATCCGAAAAAAAAAAAAAAAAAAAAAAATTCTAAAATTCGATCGCTGCCGACGAACACTCAATACTTATTATTTATTACTTAGTTAAAGTAGTAATATAAAAACGAAACTTTTAATTCTTGATCTAACCAGATTCGGTTAGAAATTATTTTCGAAAATTCTACGCAAAAGCATGTAAACCATTGAAAAAAAAAAATTGGAAAATTATAAATTTTCTACATACAAGATTAAGCATATGGTTTTCAGATTCTTTTATTAATGCTAATAATTTTTTTATATCAATAATTAACCCTCGCAAATATTTTAAACTACAAAACTATTCCTCGCAAATCTTTTAAACAACAAAACTATTTTTGATCAAAGTGTGTTTACTACATCAAGTGGTTAAATAAATATGTATCTAACGTCCATAAACTATTTTACATCATCGATTGATTATAATAAACTTTTCGAAACTTTCTCGTTCTTTATTTAGAATGCCGAAAGTTTGCGGGATTAAAATTTTATTTATACTTTAAAATCAAAAATTATATACATATACAAATACATAAAAGAAAAGTTTTCTACACGTTTAGCCAAATTTAAGCTTAATAAGAATGATCCTTTTCTTTATCCTCGAGTAATATAGCAGTATGTGCATTACTTTTCTCATTTGGTTCTTCATAAGTTTTATCATCAGGCTTTTCATTAGAACGTTCATTAGATAGTTTGCCATCATATTTTGTTTTCCCTGATCTGAATAAGTAATACTTATCAACAACTTTACTAAGTATACTTAAACAGGACGATATAAGTGTTAACAAAGGTATAATATCGTAATGCAACGTTCTTCTAAAATATATAACCTATTGAAAATTTTGTTTTAAAAAGTAATTAAATTAAAAAATAAAATAAAAAAAAAATAAATAAAATAAATAAAAATGTTATGATATACAAACATACCTGAATAACCAATTGAGGGATGTCTTCAAGAATAATGTTTACGCAAGAATAATAAGCAATTCTATACACTGTTTCATCAGAATAACCAGCATTAAACTTATCAATTCCAAAAATAATTATCTTTGAATCAAGCACATTTAAAATTTCAAGATCAGTTCCTGCCAAAATATTGAATACGTTTACAATTTTACTATTTTCATTAAGCCATTTTCTAAATTTTGTTGCTTGTTCATTATCGTTTCTTAGTTCTTTGCTAATAATCCTAAATGCCAATATTAAACTTACGAAAAATGAAACTAACAAAATTACAAGACTAGAAAAAAAAAATTACGTAAATATTTTTATTTTTATTATGATAAATACTTTTAATAAAATTTAGTGTAGAGTCGTTTACCTTGGAATAAATAACTTAACGTTTTTAGATTTGGTAAAGATAAAAAGCCAATCTAACACAATATCAGATACAGCAAGACCAAATTGAAAAATTGCGGTATTTTTTGCCTAAACAACAATAAAGGTGAGGTGAATATATAAATAAATAATTAATTTTTTGAAAAAAAAATAATAATTACGTTTTTATTTGTATTTCTGGCGACCATGAAAAGTAAAGCCAAAACTAATACGGCTGCAAATGCTCCGAGAAGACCTGGTCCAAACGATTGCCACTGATTGGCTATTTTTAAGTTAATAAAAACGATTTAGTTTTTATTTAGGAGAATTCTCTTTTCTTGAAACACTCGCTCATATAATAATTAAGAACGAATTCTTACGAAGTTGTTTATATCCATATATCTCATCTAAATATTGTGAAGTTTCACCGGATCCTATAACAGTGATAAACTTATTCCTAATCAAATGATCTAAATCTTGAATTGCGAATTTAACAGTTCTTTCTTTTCTAGTACTAATTTTATCTTTTAAGATTTTAATAGGTAAAAAGATTTGATTATTAGGAGTCGAAGCGTCAGTTTCATTCCTTTCATTGGTAGTTACACGTTCATGACTGATGGGAATTGCATCAGCCAATTCTCGACTTAATTTCTCAAAGAAAGTTTTGCGATCGTTCTCGTTAAGACTTTTAAAATATTCAGTTCCCACTTCATTCAATCGAACTTGTCCATTGGCGCTCTCTGAAAATTCTTCTTCTATTCGAGCTATTTGAAAATGATTAAAATGTATATATAAAAATAATAAATGTAACTCAATTTTATTTTAAACTAGAAGAAATTATAAGAACTTACTTGTATTGAAATACCAGACATTTTCTTTTATACCATAGAGAGGTTCTTGGTAAACTCGGTTCTTTACAAAATTATTTTCAATTAAAACATAGTATTTACTATCAGGTTGATTCAATGTGCTCTCAATTAATTTGACATAGACCGTAGTTAAATTCCCATCTTCAGTTTGATTTATGAATGCCTCGTTGTTTCCAATAATAATTTGCCGCAAATTACCATTTTCATGAAAAATTTTAATGCGACCAACTGAAAAATCAACATTATTATTATATGTAATTGTAAGTGATTTCGTATCGGGGGCAATAATATCATTAATATTCGGAGTAGTAGCTTCGATGTGGAAATTTTCATAACCATGATCTATAATATTAATTATTTGAAAAGATTAATTTTTAATTTTTTAATTAATGTTTTTTATCAACGTTTTCACTTACCTTTTGCTTGTTCAAATTTATACAATGTAGTGGTTATCAAAGTCCAATATGGCTTTTCTATCGGTTGAGAAATTACAATAGTATTATTTCTCAAAATTTGCGCGATACCAAGAGGGTTTATCACGGTAGGCATTGGAAGGTCCCAACTATATACTATGCCTTCGCCGTTTAAAATATAACCTTCAATGAAAGATCCACCACTATCATCCGTTCCAATTCCTTTTAATAAATAACCTCCATATCGTAATGCTTCGATAAAATATTCTTCAATTAACGGATTCCTTTGAATATTATCTATCAAAGGCAAAACGTTTATTACGGTTCCAGATGAAAGAAAATCAATTTTAAGATGAATTTTTTTATTAACAGAACGAATTGTAAATACTCCTGCTACTATACAAGTTTGTCCAAATCCTACGTAAGAAGCACCGCAATCAATGCCAACAAACTTTAATCCTGAAATTGGAGTTTGGTAAAGAACAGCTGGTTCTCGTTTAGTTTTATGAATATCTAAGATATAAATGTAGACCCCCCCTCGTGGAATAAAAGGATTTTCAAGTGAGGCTGTAGTATCCGTAGAATTTGCAAATACAATTGCGTATCTACCGTCCACCATTGAAACGACTGTACTTATAAGGCTCAGATTCTCCCCAAATTGTATGGTATCTTCAGCAAGTAAAATTATTTCTCCCGCTTCGTTCCTTCATCAAAAAATTAATAAATTAATAAATAAATGAATAAATATATTACTAATTAAATTTAAAACTTATATATGAATAATTACACATCGTATTGCTGCCAGATTGTATCAGTATGCATTGTAGGTGTGAAACGGAAAAATCCTTTGTCGGGATCAAAGTTTATAAAGATCCCTTCTCGTGGTTGCCATTGATTAGTGGCAACATCAACAAAGCTCGAACCAAATGTAATATTACTATAAATAAGAAGAAATCAAAATTAATAATGTTGTTTACATTCGCTAGAAGTTTAATTTTATTTATTTTTGTAAAATTTGATTTCTAAACCTGTAAATATTTCCATATAAATCAATAATCATAGCTCTATCAGTATAACTAAAAGGATCCGATTCGTCTATGGCATTCGTATAAGTTACTAACAAAAAATTTTTTCTTATTGGAAAAATTTGAATAGGGTTTAACATTCCTATGTTATTATCCAAAATACAATAGTTAAAATCTTGTATATCCAATTTAATATCTACTGGTACAACATTCCCATTTGGATAAATCGTGCGAATTGACAAGTATTTATCGACACAAAGTTTACCAACTTCTTCAGGGACTGATAGATCTGGACGAATTATATGAACGACCATCGTGTTATCATGATAACTAACTATATTAAATATGGTGGGCGTGCTGTCGCTGGCATTTACAGTTGGTATGTCTTCATATGTGAAAACATTTTGTGATTGGATTGGTAATATAGTAAATGAAATGATTGATAAAATTGAAAAAACAAATATAAAATTATTAAACTTCATCTTGGAAAATTATCGAAATTTGAATTATTTAAATCCTCAATTATCCAATCAATATAATAATTCATGTATAAAGAGAAATAAAAAATTAAATTTAAATTTAAACAAAGATTTTAAATCATTTTCGCTCAAATGAAGCCCAAAAATAGGTATCAAATCGTTCTTTAAAATAACAGACCATAAAAACAACGCCTCATTCGATTTTTAAACTTTTTTTCTAATCAAAAAAACAAGATGGATTTAAAATTTAATAAAGCTCTTTTGGAAGTTTCATTTAGTTTCGAATTTCGATAAGATTTTATTATTACCATTTTTAATAAATCATTTATTTTTCATCGAATGATTTCATTAATTTAGCTTAGTCTTATCGCCTTATCTAAGATCATTTATTTGATAAAATTTTCGTCTTTTATCATCGAAATAAAGAAACCATTATTAGATTTGATTGTAATTGTTTAATGACATGATTTTTCATGCAATGCAACAAATATAATTGATTAAACTTTTTCCAAAATTCAGATTTGATTCAAATAAATCAATAATCCAAATCGAGATCCTCATTTTTTTAAGTTATCAGCCGATTTTTTTTATGGAGATACAAAGTATGAAACAGGTGAAATTATATGTATATACTGCGCTACAATCTATAATTATAACTTGTGACTCAAAAAGAGGCTTGCAGATCAGCCAAATTTGTAAATGAAAAAAAAATCTGCATTTCAAACAAATGAAAATCTAATTTAGAATTTTTAGAATTACAATCCTTCATTAGCAAAAGTAAGAATATTCCGGCAAATGAAAATTTTATTTTGGTAAGAAATTCACAAAATTCAAATAGTATTTAAACAGTACATCCAATACGTTCTTTCCCATCATCCGAATACGATCTAAAACAAATTTTCACAAAAAAAAAAAAAGCTAATAATAAAAATGAAATTTCAATTCACTATTTTAGTTCTTTTCGCGTTCATTGCTTTTACGACAGCAATATCCATTAAGGACGAATCGATAAAGCTTGAAAAACGAAACTCGTGTTCATCTAATTCTAAAAGAAATCTTTTGGATAAAAGAAACGAAGACAAATCGTGCCCATGTACGATCGCCGAGTCGATTTTCTATACGGAATTTAGAGGATTTACATTTTATTCACAAGACGAATGCGGAAGTACTACTATCGCAGGAATGTTCAGTCGTGGATTCGAGACTTTAGATTCTACCTACAATATTACATTTGAAATCGTTGATAGTTGCAACCGTACCCTCTATGACCTCACGGAAGGATTGAATGTTCAAATTAATGATGATGGAAGTACCGATCCATATCTGCACACCTTTGATGAAATCACTTTAGATTGTTTTGAAGATGGTATCCTTTTCCCGCAAGTTGGTAAATATAGCAAACGTACCTGTGGTTCAAATCAACGTCGTGATGGCGATAATTCCATGGTTGTTAAACAGAATAATGACATCAAAACATCAGCGAAAGTTAAATCTATACCAAGATAGTTTAAATTTAACCATATTTTTAAGGATAAATTTTTTTTAGTCTAAAATTTATTTATATATGATTTCCTAGATGTAGATAAATTTTTTTTTTGAGAAAATTTGTTTTTTTTTTATATTTGTACATTTCGTTGTATTTTCGTATTTTAAAATCAATAAATTGAGTCATTAAAGTAATTTTTTTTTAAAGAAACGGATCGTTCATAAGTTCATGAGAATGAATGTAAAAGCGATGATTTTATTGTAGGTCAAAAAAAAAAAAAAAATCCTGATATATGGAATTCTTCATAAACGTATAAAATTTCATACACAAATAGGGAGAGCTCATTATCTGGACAAAAATTTATTGCACTTTTTCTATAAATTGAAGTTACGGTTCTAAAAAAAAAAAAAAAAGTTATATTTTATTATAATACATCAAGAATGCGCGGAGGTATAATATTAAAAATAATCAACGAAATTCAAACATTTCGGTTGTGCTAATATAGAAATGCGGTAAACGAAGACACAACTAAGCATTAACGCATGTGTTGCACAATCTTTGATCCACTATAATTGAGAATTTTAAATCACCGTTCAAATGGAGCCCAGAATAGGCGTACATTGTTGCAAGAAATACAAAATTTAAAATCAAAACCATTTATCATAAAAAGAATTTAACACAAAGATAGATAACGATTATGTATAACTCTCATTTAATGTAAAAGTGTGTAAGAGTTTCTAAAAATAAAAATTTAGGTTTTTGATTTTAAACTTTTATGTGGTAATAGTTTATAATATTTGTACAAAAAAAAACTTTGGGGTGAATAAACAAATGCTAAAATAATTTATGCTTGTATAAACAACATATTTTGTTAAAAAAGATGATTGCCACTATCAATAAACGATTACAAATTTTCTAAAATTACATTTTTTTTCTCTTAACTTTCATTGCTGTTTCTAGGCTCTATTCCTATCAACTTATGATGAACCATTAGTTGACAATTGAATTAGTTAAGGAAATAATATTTTAATCTTTTTGAAAAATTTAAAGTATATCATGAAAAAATTTTTAATTTTGTGCGAGCGTACATGCATTTAACATTTAAAAATGTATACAAAATCAAACAAAGTTTTCATTAATTTCCCCCTCGTTGCAATTATCTTTCAAAAAAAAAAATTATTTATTTGGTTGAATCAGGTCAGGCTTGTAACATATTCAACTCGAACCGGTCAATAGTTACAGAACTCGAAATATAAACAATAATTTATTTTGCAAATTAAGTAATAAATTGATAATTTTTATTTTTGAAACATAAAATTTAAAGTTTATTTTTTGAACATTAATCGTTTAATCATGTTAAGTCATTTTTTATGACCTCTAAAACTAGTTTTAGGTAAAAGAAATAACCTATATATTGGATTGAGTGCTGGGAAAGGCAGTGTTGGAAATGACCTTGAAATGACATCATTTTTATTATAAATTTCAAGTCAAAATGACCAAAGGTCATTAAAAAATAAGTAAATGACCTTATAATTTGCCATCACTGGGGAAAGGTGGTAGTTGATTATGTACAGTCCGCGACATAAATATCCGGAATTTATCGTGACAAATAAAAATATTGTAAATCTTATTTTATTCGTTTCATATTTATGCTATTTGTAGATTATAATATACAGATTAACAAAATAAAAAAAATTAATAATTAATTGAAAGCCCTTTTTTTTCTATAACTTCATTAATCTGACCCGACATACTATCCGCCAAATTAAAGAAAATATTTTGATCAATATTGTCCTATTCCTGCCGAATTATGCCCTGAAAAGTAACTGCACTAAGCACTTTTTTTTCTTAATCCAATTATTAACACTTTCCTCCACTTTTCGTTTAAGAATGGCCCATAAATTCTCGATTAGATTCAAATCGGGGGAGTTTGCAGGCCAATCGATCACTGGAACATTATTTGCCGCGAAAAATTGTTGAGTGCACCCTGCTGTATGGGTTGATGCGTTATCTTGTTGGAAGTGCCACCCGTAGCCAGCACCATGAATTAGGAACAAGTTGGAATTGAAGAATTTCACAATATTTTTCAGAATTCATATTTCCTATAAATAATTCAATCGCAATCGGTCCTTGACGACAAAATGCATCCCAAACATGCACTTTGTATGGATGTTTTACCATAGGACGTAATGGACGTGTACTACTAGCTTTGTAACATACTAATAAAGTATTACTAAATGTTTGAAAAGTGCTTTCATCTGAAAAAATTGTATGAGACCAATCATCTTGGTTATGCCTTAAAGCCCACTGGAGACGTGCTTCGATATGATTTTGTTTAAGGAGAGGAACAGCTCGTGGCCTACAAACCACATAATTAAGTTTATTTTTAAGGGTGCGTTGGACAGTCCGAGTTGATATATTAAGGTCCGAATAAATATTATTCAGTTTCGTTGTCATTAAAGATGAAGATATTGCATTATTAACTTGGACGAGACGACCAAGATACCGACGTTTGTTGGGAGTAGGAACAAGAGGACGACTAGGACAAGGTAAGTGCTTAACATCTCCAGATTTTTTTAACCGGTTGACAATGTCATATACAGTAGAGCTTGGATAACCAGTTATTTTAATTATTTCAGAGGGTTTTCATATATTTTTAACCCATAATTCCTTTACAGTCAAACGTCTTGTTTCAAAAACTGAAATGGGCGCAATGGATTAAGTTTTTTGTGATAAATAATCACATGAAATTTTTGTGGCATTATTGTTATATCTATAAATAGCTAAAAAAATTGCTATTTTGATTTTTGTTTTGGTAGGATATAAATTGGTGGTATAGGGACTTTTTTGTATTACCGATAAAATTCCGGATATTTATGTCGCAGATTGTACTTACTGTAAATCTGATCACCTGAAATTCGAGTAGGTTGACCGGCTCAAAGACTGAATTATTAAATCCATGGTCTAGAATTTTTTAATAATTGAAAATTTTTTTTTGCGTTCTATTCTCAAATTTATACAATTCGGCGGTAATCAAAGTTCAATATAGATTTTCTACCATTTGGGCAAGCACATAAGTCGTTAATTCTCAACTAGTGCATTTTGGATACTGGGAATGAATTTAATATATTTAATATGTTTTAATTTATTTAATGATTAGTTTACAGATAAAGTGTTAAGTTAAAATAGTTATTTTCAGCCGAATTAAGAATTTATGATTACAAAAATTTTCGATAGCTCTGGTCAATTTTATAGTGCCAGCTTGAGTTAAAATTTTAATAAAGTAACCAGTTACTAACTGGTTAAGGAATTTTAGGTCTATTATAAACATTGAAATATCTGCTACATACTTGTATGTTTGTTCATTTGTTTATCTAATAAATTATTGTTATTGGTCAGGTTGTAGGTGATAACTGATTTACACACAGGATGCTATATGGGAGTGTTTCTAGGAAAATCAGGTTCCGAGAAATTTTTGACTAAAATAAAGAGCTTAATACATTTTAATTTAATAACATCAAAAACTAAAATGCAATAAAAATCTCAATTTTGCTAAAAAAATTCCCGGAACCTGATTTTTCTAGCAATCAACCCATATAGCTTACATGGCTGAAGGCCATGTGATCTAAATAGTATCCTAAATGTGTGTAAATCAGTTATCAGCCAATTTGACCAATAACACGCTTATTGTATATGTCTGACATAAGCACTGGATATTCACATATTTATTGATCATTTTCTAATTACTCACACATACTCCTTTTTCACCTTCTTCCTTTCCCTTTTTATTTCTCCTACTTTTTATTTAATAATTATATAAATATGAATTTACACAAGTCTTACAACCTCCCTCACAAGAAGAAATTGACCGTTTACAACAAGCATCATTTATTTCAAATACTGAAAAAAACACTTCCAAGTGACTGCGAGTTGTTGATCGATTTGATAACAGCTGCGGCATATCGCAAGCCATTGAATTAATTGATTCTATTAATGAATTTGAAGATCATCTTTGTAAATTTATAACTTGGTTAAAAAAAGAATGATGGTACAGATTATAAAGTGGAATCCACTGCTACAGTGCTATAAATCGTTATCTGAGGGAACATAGTGTGATTCAACCAATAAAGATTTGGGATCGATACAAGTTTACTTGTGCTTTTCGTACGCTTGATGGAAAAATGAGGATGTTACAGGATAAGGGGTTAGGTGATACCAGCAAATCTGATGGATTATCTTTTAAAGAAATCAAACAAATGGGAGTGTTTCTAGGAAAATCAGGTTCCGAGAAATTTTTGACTAAAATAAAGAGCTTAATACATTTTAATTTAATAACATCAAAAACTAAAATGCAATAAAAATCTCAATTTTGCTAAAAAATTCCTGGAACCTGATTTTCCTAGCAATCAACCCAAATACTTGATCATCCATATATGAATATTGGTAATAATGAATCTCTTACCCATCGAATTTTCTTCTGGTTATGTTTACTATGTGGATTGAGAGGTGGAGATATATATCAAATTCGCCGAAAAGATCTTGAATCACGTCAAGATGGAGGTTTTGAACTTGTATTACACAAAGAAAAGAATAATCAGGGTAGTGCATTTTATAGAAATATACATGGAAAAACAGGTTCTTGGCACATTCCTATACCTCCTGATCAACCAAATAATCAATATACTCCTGTAAAAGACATTCTTTTATTTTTATCCAAACTTCCTGAATCTACTCTAGTACAAGATCCTCTGTTTTATGAAACTTCTAAAAGTAAAAAAGGTAAATTGATAAATTTATTAACTATTTATATATTACTTTTACTAACTTTTTTTTTTAAGATTTACAAGAAGGTCTCTGGTTTAAAAATAACCTTATGGACCAAACGAAACTTAAGAAAATGATGAATGATATTGCATTAAATACTAGATCTTGATAATGGAAGAAAAATTACAAATCATTCTTGTCGTCATACTGTAATTCAACTTTTAAGGAATAATGGAGTTTCTGAATTGGAGCTTCAATCCTTTTCTGGACATCATTCTCGAGAAAGTTTAGCAGATTATAGTCAAACTAGTGAATATCAACGAAACATGAATACTGCAATGTTAATTCCTTATTCTCCACAAGATTTAGATGATGATTACATTTCTGAATGTATTACTGAAGACGAATCAGATATTGGTACATATAATGCTTAAAATATTTGATATTTTTTGCATATTTACAATTTAAAAATTTGATTTTCAAATTTATAGAAGTGGATATTGAATCAATTCAATCAACTTTGACCCAATCACAAATTCTGATTATTGCATCTTCTAATGTCAAAATTCAAGAAACCAAAAAGACATCTAACACTAAAACTCAAGAAACTCAAGAAGGTATGGTTAAATATTTATTTTTTTTATTTTTAACCTTTGCTATTTACTAACTGTAATATAAAAATTTTAGATATTTCAAACCAAGTTCAAGACTTTTCAGATTAAGATCTCGTGATAAAAACAACCTCTACCCACACCTTTTAAACCACCTTATCATTCCAATTCCTCAATGATCGCTTTTTATGGTAAACACAGAAAGCCTTTATCTAAAATTAACAACAACATTATTATTAAGCTTCCTTCAGATGCCTCTTCGCAAAATTATGACATAAATATTAATTTAAAAATCAGTTAATGTATCTTGTTTAACATTTGTATAAATATTAGCTACATTTACAAAATAAAAAAAATTCACACATTTTTATATATGAAGTAAATAAAATTAAATTCGCGCATTTTATATATAAAGTGAACTAAATTTGTGTATTTATTTTTATATATAAAGTGCACCAAATTTGTGTATTTTTACATATAAAGTGATAAAGTTTGTGTATAATTTGATTAGAAAGTGATCAATAACATGCATGAAAAAGATCCGGTGCTTACATAGGACGTATACAATAATGTAATTTATATACAGTTAATGTAAAGGCTTTTTTGAAGTAGAAATTGTTATGTTGTTGGAGCTTCATTTGAATTAAAATATGCTGTAATTTTTTTTACTGAATTATTTCGAATATTTCAATTTGTAAATCAATCGAAATAATAGAGAACACGCGAAATAACAAATTTCATTTTTTTTTTTTGTCGTGATAAAAGTTCTGGTTTTGTCGACCAATCGAATCCAAATGCAAGGTAGTACAAATAAAGAAAAACAACTACCGCGCAAGAATTAAATGTGGCCTACAATGGGTATGGCTACACGATAATACAGTTACTATGGCTGGAATGATCCCTCTAACTAATTCTGATATTGGTCTCGGAGGTCTAGCTGAATCTAGCCGGGTCAGACCTGGTGAATATGGGACCTTTGCAATAGAAAAGAGGGAAACGGCTGGAAAAAATAAAAAATGAGTTAATGCTAAATCTGAACATATTTTGACCTAAAAATCATATTTTGCATATAAAAGTAAAATTGATTTTTTCCCCCTTTCTATTGTAAAGGTCCCATATGGTCTATAATACTAGAGGCAATTATTAACGGATGGGTTACGCGGATTAGCTGAGACCTATTCTGGAGTTCTTACGAGAGTTGGAAGCTATGCTCCGTTAAACTAATTCCTGTAATAAACGTTCTCTGGTTATTCCTGTACACTTTTTAAAAAAAAAAAAAAAAAAAAAAAACTGCCGCTCTATATAAAATATATTAATTTATTTTATGCCATTTTAAGCTTAAGTGAAAAGAATGGTATGACCCATTTAACGAAAAGGCGGTTTTACAGAAGACCATACCTATATATATGTTCGATATATTTTTAAATTAAAAATTATTTACTAAGAAATTATATTATCATCAAATTAGGTCGTTGAGGCCGGCCGCCAAAATTCACTTTTTTTTATAGTAAAATCTTTTATCACGTGACTTTATATAATGTATCCGAATTTCCATTAGATTTTTTCAGTTTTTCAATTGAATTTTCTACATTACATTATCGGCTTTCCAGTATTGTTACGAAATAGAGTTCTATCTCTAAATTGTGCTCTGAGCCGATCAAGTCGACCCGGGTTGTTTGACCCGACTCGAATTTTTCTCGAGTCGGACTATCGTTTTTTATGACACGAGTTTTAATTCAAAAAAAACTGTCGAGTCAGGGGCACGTTTTTGCTTGACCCGAATGATCAGGCGAACTGTTTTAAACAACATCGATATAAATAGACGCGCTAGACTTTTTTTTTTGCGTTACGCGTCTTTAATTTGTAACAAATAAATAATGAGTGAACCTATTGACGTTACCGATAGTACAACTTCTTCTAGAATACGAAAAGCTTTGCGGAGTGAACAATTACAGGTAAATAATAAATTATCATTAATAAACATTAACTCATATATTTTTTTTATAAAGCAACAAGTGTTCCAATAGAACTAGTTTTTTTCTGGTGGAACCGATCTGGTATCAATCAAAAGATGTGATCTTAAAGCTAATACAATTTTCGCCTGCATGTATTTGAAATCCTGGTGGAAAAAGATGTAAAAAAAAAAGAAGAATTAGGATTAATGCTCACAAAAAAAAATAATAAATTTTTTAAAAAAATAAATAAACTTTATATGCCAATTTTTTTTTATTTTCGGCATTAATATTACCCTTGAAGATTCGATTCGAATTCGGGTTCTGTAATTATTAACGGGTTCGAGTTCGAATATGCTTTAAACCCGACCCGATCCGACCCTTACGGAGCACTACTTCTAAGAGATATAATTTATTGAATGTTTACAAATAATTAAAATTAATGTAAACCTAATAATTAAGCAAGTTCTCTATATAATGCTTCTTTAGAGATTCGGCATTAAATAATTCATATAACTTTTTTTTATTTTCTCTTGACCTTTCCAAATATTATGTTTTCTTGATTTTATTACTTACATATAAACAAAGGTCTAAAAAGTTACAATAAACTTTTCAATATTCGAAGAATTATTCGGATCAATATTTGTGTAACATCTTAATATGAAAATTTGTATGTTTCAATGATCATTGAAAAAGGAAATCATATCTTTACAAATGAAATCTGTCCATTTAGCAGCAGTTTTGTTAATCTCAAATTCAACAAACGACATTAGATGAAATCGTTAATATCTTACTGATGAATTGATCTTATTCGGATTATTATAAGGATGGCAATTTTGACGGTCTTAATACCGTGAAAATTTAATTTAGGATATTTATAGCATGTGATGTTTTACTTATTATTTAAGATTTTAAAAAAAATGTAATTAAAAATATTCTCTTGGTGAAATGTATTTTTTTAAGCGAACTAAAAAATTTGTACGATCCTAAAATCCTTCTGAATTTCGGTTTATTTCAATCTAAAAGATGCAGAATTTAAAATACAAAATTCTACAATCATAAAGTTCATAAAGTATTGTGATATTCGAAATTTTATTGCATCAATGGAATATCTCTCGTTCAATTTCAAAATTTATGCGACATTAGTAAACACTAATTTTTGGTTAAAGGTTTCTAAACCCTCGAAAAGGAGACATAAATTAGGCGATGCTCGTGATATTCGAAATCAAGATTAGGTTAGTTTTCGAATCCCAAAGCTAGTGTAAAATTAATGTTATAAACATTAAAAAAAATTTAGAAAATAGGCTTAATTATATTAGTCTGGCAACTGGTAACATCAAATAATAAATTAACGTCGCACAAATTTAAATCCTGAAGTAAAAGATAACATTCTTATATTACATAGCGCACTTAATATTTTTAAAACTTTTTGAATTTTTATCATTTATTTTTTGTCTTTTATTGTCTCATCTTCAACCTAATAAACGATTTTTAAAACTCTTATATAACTAATTAATATTTATTTATTGTTAAACTTTATATCTATATATTAATTATTTTCACATCGCGGTGCTAAACAACTTAAATTAATTAATTAATACGAATTATATTTATAGGATTTTAAAATTTTTAATTGAATTTTTTTTTTTTTTTGAAAAAAAATAAATTTTCTATTTTTGTATTCCGATCATCCAAATTTGATTAACTATCAAGTTAAAAAATCCAAAATTTGAGACAAAATATAAATTCGCGTCAATCCTTATGCTAATATTAATTTAAAGAAATTTTAATAAATGATGATGATTATAAATTGGATGTATCAGATTCTACATTAAAAGAATTAGAAGATAATTCATTTTCAGAAGAAAAAATATTGAAGAATTAAAGTGCAAGAATAAAGATATCAATAATAAAATACTTTACTTTTCTAGTAATTCCTAAATATTGAAGGATTACCTTATTTCCGGTAAAACATTCTATTTCTAAATTAACTTATCCAAACACAATCCACTTTCTGCCACAAGATGCCCAACGGTTATACCTTATATTATTTTATTTACAACACCCTTATTCATATGTAAAGTATTAGCAATATCCACAGTAGACAAACCATCGATATGAAGATAGTTACGTCATATAAATCTTACTAAATTCTTTAGGCAATGTTGAATTCACCTATAAAAAATATAATAAACTTTTATTGAAATTATTTAATTGCAATCGTTTGAATCCATGGAATCGGTACTACTTATATAATAAAGTATTAATCGAGGTAAAAGAAAAAAAAAGTACGCCCATTAATTAATGTGACTTAGCATTTGACATTTCAAATAATATTTATGATTTATGAGCATGTTAAATTATTTACATAAATCGTAAGATTTTTTTTTTAAAAAAAATGTAATTCCGTCCGCGATTTAATATCCTAATTTTATTAAAGATGTCCGATACGATGTCTCGAAGATATTTCGAGACGTGACCGTACTGCGTCGAGCTCGGAATCATATCCGTATTACCCCCCTTAAAATTCTCCGAATACTAACGTTGCATTCGAATGTTCACTGACTCGGAGCTTGACTCTGTTTTTTAGTGGTACCATTATACATCGCAATGATCGTAACGATGTTATGAGCAAAAAAACAAACGTCAAAATGTATTTTTTTTGTACTATCTTCGAATTGATATTTTTTTTTTTTTTTTGCGATAGTTGATAAGTGGTATTAAGAAGTTCAATACAACCGACGATATCTTTTTGAAGGACCTATGATTATACATATAAATTTTGAAAAGCAGTTAGGCACCCTGGACGATCTTAGCAAATGACAAAAGCTTTATAAATGGTCAATTAAACGATTAACATTATTATGATGTTAGGTACATTCACGAAATAAATTTGAATTATTATAAGGATGGCATCTTTTTCCGCAAATACCCAAATGTTCTTGCGAGTTTGAAAAATTTTAAAAGATAATTCAAATGAAAATTTTCCTTTTATGTATTTTTTTTAACCAATAATAATGCGTAAATAAATTTGTGGCGTATTTCTATGTTTGTACGTAAAACTGATACCATTATCATTTTTTTTTGATGTAAATTTTTTTTCTTTTTCGAATATTAGAAAATTCGTGTGTGGAGCTCTTCTACTTCTTTTAAAATGATTGAACTTATTCTCTAAATTTAATCTAATTAAGTAGCGTCCCCGAATTAAGTTCTATTATTTTTTTTTTTCGAGGTATTTATAAATTATAGTTATGACTCTTTCATGAACAACTAACCTCGGCGGCTTATGCATTTAGGGAATGATTTTGAACATTGTTCATAAACCAGTTTTATATTATGCTTAAATTTAATTGTATGAATGTATTAGTAAATTTGTTGCATGAGTAAGTTTGCTTAAACCCCGATTTTTTGATTTTTGTTATTAGCGTTAGTAGAATACAAGATTGTTTTACATTTATATTTAATTATTATTTATCTATCTTTCATCTATGCATCAATAATACCCAATTTGTAACATGTTTTTAGACAAAGGCTTGCACGAACATACTCTTCTGATAACCGATTACGTACAGGATTGATCGTATGTTTTAACCATATAGAATATTTGGGTTGATTGATATTCTTGATGACAATGTATACAGTATCGTTGTTATCTCTTAAAAAGTTCACCCCAGAAAGTATCAGTCTTTGTCACTTTGAGGAACGATTTGTTATTTGATAATGGGTTCGAAGCGACTAGTACTGAGCAATTTGTATTAAGTGAATTTTCTTTGTCCATTAAAATAACCAAGCATTGTATCATGTCATAAATCAAATTAAAGTCAAATATAAAAATCATGATATCCTTAGTAAATCATGTGACCACAACAATATATGTTCTGGATTCAAGCACTGACGAAATGGGTTTGTACAAGCAAAATCACATCCCTACAATATATCTTTGAACTAACACATTCGATATGGATCGATCGCTGCAATTTGAAAAGTCACGAGACATCAACATTGAATTTAAGAAATCTCGAAATTTTTCCTCTGGATACAACTATTGATTTAACCTCTTCCTTCTCCTTTAATCCATTAACCTCCATAGATAAGATGGTCCGTTTAGTAACCCAATGATTGAATTTTTTGGTGCCACTCTCCTACGTTTCGTATTACTTAAAGGTGATATTCTTAGGTTTAGATTATATCCTGGGAAAGTGCAGTCGGTCTTAATATAGATTTTATTTTGTAAAGATTTTCATTTTTTCTGAATTTGTATCTTGTTTTTACTTTTTGTATTACTTACATATAAATTCAATAAAGATTATGCGAAACTACCCCAATAAAAAAAAAAAGAAAAAGGATCTATAAATTTAAATAACATTGATCCAAATATGTATGTATAGAAAGTAATGTTGCGGCTTAATTACTCCTAACAAAAGATAGAGTTTGGTGCTTTTACCAGTGCCGTTTGCCCCGTTTTGCGCGGTAAATATTTTTAGGAAATGAATCGCTTTGAAAACTGATTTCATATTTGATCACATTTGTAATAAAATGTCATATAAATAATTTATTGAAATTTCTTTCTATAAGTCTATTAAAATCAGGTTATACGTATGTTATAAGAAATTAAGTTCTGAATTTATTTAGTATGAAACATTTATTTAAATAAAAGATTTATTTAAGATTGTAAACTTTATATTTATAAAATTTATCAAAACATAAAAGTTTATTATTTGGACGAAAAAGGAACGCTTTCTTCAAAAACAATAATATATACATATAAAATAACTTTCGTTTTAAATAATTTTAAATTTGCTTTAATCGTTTAGAAATGAATTTTCACCAATTTGTACAAGAAAAAAAAAAAGAATGAAATATTTTACAATGATAATTACGAATTAGGTTTGAAAGTCGTTTATATCCGAAGCTTCAAATATGTCCCCACTTTCCTTACAAGCCACTTGATTTTTACCGTCACGACGTCTAAGTCCATCGCAAGTGCGTTTGTTATAATGTGATTTACCAACTTGTGGGAACAAGATTCCATCATCATCACAGTCAAGGTTGATTTCATCGAAGGTATATCTGAAAGGATCTGTGCTGCCATCATCATTAAATTGTACGTTCAACCCATAAGTAATATCATAAAGGGTACGATTGCAACTATCAACGATTTCAAAAGTGATATTTTCGGTTGAGTTGAACACTTCAAACCCACTGCTGAATAGACCTGCAATTGTAGTACTACCACATTCGTCTTGTGCAAAGAAAAAGAAACCTTTAAGTTTATTTGAGAAAATCGATTCGGCGAGGCTGCAAGAACACTGTTTGTCTTCGTTTCTTTCAATCAAAACATTTCTCTTAGAATTATATGCACACGTGGTACGTTTTTCAATTTTATGAACTGATAAATCATTACGAGTTGTTAGAGCTGTCGAAACAGCGGTAAAGAAGATTAGGAGAACAAAAATGTTAAAATAAAATTTAGTCATTTTAATTGAATGAGAATTTTTAACTTTGTAAAAATATTTTAGAATCGAATTTCGATGTGGAAAGAACGTTTTGGAATATACTCTTTTATATTGTCGAAACCCTCGGCGCAGAAAAAAATCTGATACTGTAAAAATAAATTTTTGTCATTTGTGATTAACTTGAATGAAAAACTTTTTTAGAATATCATTTGTTCATTCAAACCTTTTAATCAAAGTTGTAAATGGTTGAGATAACATTTAACCTATTTGGCCAAGACGCACAAAGAAACAAAAAAATTTTCAGTCTTATCGACCATTATTAAAAAGAAAAAAACTTTTTTTTTTGATTATCCTTTGTCATATGGTCATATGCATACTGTATGTTGTTCCTCAACAAAATACTTTCGAAATGAGAATCTTAATTTGTAAAATGAATATTCGGAAAGTTCACATCAACTTTAAAAAATAAAAAAACAAAAAGGAAATTGATAGTCAAACAATGACAACCGTACTATATACATAATTATGGAATATTCTAATAAGGCGAAATGATGCATCAACGAAATCTAAATTAATGAATTCATTTCGTTCGATGATCAAAAAAAAAAAAAAAAAAAAAAAAAAAAAAAGATAATATACAATTCTGTAATATTAAAATCTTACAATCTTAATCTCAAGAATAAATGAAATATCCAAAAGAGATAACATTCATCAATTTTTTGTTTTAATATTGTTACGGTATTTCTTATTTGGTCGTAAAATAAACGGGTCCTTTTTGCTACATGAGATGGGCTCTATCGACAGAAAAATGATTTAAAATCTTGGTTTTGCCGTCTCTTCTAAATTTAAAAATTTTTTTAAAAAGTATTTGATTGGATAAAAATAAATCATAATGAAGTTTAATCTTTTTATATTTACTTTTACGATTTTATCAATTATTTCATTTTTAATATTACCAACAAAAACACAAAATCTCTTTACATATGAAGAACCTGAAGGCTTCGGTAAACCCAATATATTTAGTATAAAAAAATATAATGATAACAAGATAGTAATTCGTATAGCTCGTGTAAATGAATCAGTTCTTCCTGAAAACAATAAAATTTGCTTGGAACAATACTTATCACTTCGTACGATTTATCCTGATGGGAATGTTGTGTCAGTTGATAATCCATTGGAAATACCGGATTTTAACTTTTGCATTTTGCAAATGAACGGAATGAAGAGTACGATTGAAATTTATCCTATAAGAAACAATTTTTTACTAGTAACCTACACCACGAATACGAATGTTCCTCCAGATCCTTTTTCTTATTATGAATGGGGAATGATTGTTGATTTAAATGGAAATTCTTACGGGTCAGAAAAATTTAAATTTATATTAAATAAAGTTAACCTTTTTTAGTATGTGTACAATAATTATTACTTTTTATAGTAAAATTTTATTTGGACCTGCCGTTGTCGATCATGTTACTAATGAATGGTCACCTGAAGAAGCTGCGATTGAAGTAAATTTTAATCCTGACAGGGGATTTATCCGTTTGTCACCTATCACAAATACTTCTGATTTCATTTGGCAGCAATACTCAGTGTAAGTTATCATACGAATATGATTTTAAATTTATTAATGAAAAATTAATTTAATAATAAATGTATTACTTTTTTTTTAATAAAGTGATAAATATGGAGAAATTCAATTACTTGCAGAAGATATCGTACAATTTCCAAGGTTTCTTAGCACAGTAACTATTGCGATTCCAATGGTGGACGAGAGATACGCGATTGTTTATGCTAATTCTACGGATTCTGGAGCCACACTTGAGAATCCTTTTAAAACGCAAGGAGGAATCTATGCCATAATCTTAGAATATGGCAAAGTCACTGAACGAGAACCAGTTGTTCTTTATCAAACTCAAATTCAAGGAATAAATTTTAATAAAATTGATTGCGATATTAATTACGTAGGATATGGGCAAACTTGTATAGTGACAGGAATTTTTACAGGTCGAGCAATTAAAGACAGATTTTATCTTAAGATTGATTTTCTTTCCTCAGGAACTGTATATAGTGTAACACCATTAAGGGAAGAGAATAGCACTATTACTCAATATAGTGTTCAAGCACTACCATATGGAGGTTATTTATTAAAGGGATTTGAAAAAGTTAATAAACAAATTCAAATTACTGGTTATATATTTAATGACAATGTTGAACTTTTTAATTGGAGCCTTCCAAACCCTACTGCATCATATCTTCGAGCTCCTTCAGAAATTTTGAGAAATAATACCTTTGTACTTGCTCAATCCGTTCAAGTCGAAGATAAACGAAGTTGGGCTTTGATCACCACTGATTTACATAAATTTGAGGAAGAAAAAGGTAAAGTGACAAACGCTAAAAAAGAAATTAAAGATAAAAAATTTTAATCTTTCATTTAATAAATATGTTAGATCATGGATATAATAACTTCCATATCGACAGCACATTTCCAGAAAACAATGTTATGATCAAAATCGGCGAACTAAACAATCTTACAATAACATATTATAAAGGAGTTGATTTATCGGGAGGTCATATTTTAATTTTTCAAGATGATGGCAGTATACGTCAAAATACTTCTGGAATCGACAACCGTTACGTATCTTTAAGTGAAGATGGAACTACTGTTTTTGTTAAAATAATTAATTGCATATTCAGTCAACCTGGTAAAAATTACTATGTTTCAATTGGTAATAATTTTGTTAAAAGCAGAATTTATCAAGAACCTCTCTATGGTATAAAAGAACGTGTTTGGTCCTTTAAACCATGTAAGTGCTTCTAACATCCTCTTATGTTAAAGTGATATAGGATTTATTTTATATTCATTCTTTAGTAATTTTTAATAGATGTTGCAAAGGAAGAAAAAATTTCAGATACCGTTAAGGGGCAAGTTCGATTGACTGCAAACGGGACCGTCTATTTTAATAGTCTTAACGAGAGCGAACAAAAAAATTTCTTTACAAAATTAAGACAAGAATTGGCCGATGCAATTCCCGTCAGTCATGAACGTGTAACTACCAATGAAAAGACTCAAATCGACTCTTCTACTTCCCCAAAACAAATTTTTTTGTCTATTGATATTAATAAAGATAAAACTAAACAAGAAAGAACTGTTAGTTATGCAATTAAAGCTTTAGATAATTTGATTAGGAATAAAACTATCACTGTTATTGAATACGGTGAATATTCAAGATATTTAGATGAAAATTACGGATACCAAACACGTAGGAATTTTTTTTTGCTATTATCTTGAGATTCGTAAAAGGGATAATTCTCTCAAAAATCTAAATATAATACTTTGAAATTTTAATTTGAAAATAGAAAATTGGTGGAAAATTTATGGACCAACTATCATTGGAGCATGTATAATCCTACCCCTACTGGTTTTATTATACATTTTCGCCAGATGTAAAAATCCTGAAGTAAATATCATGAATATAAATTTTTTAAATGAAAAAGAGTCAATAAACATATTTATAAAAGCTCTTTTTTATTAATTTTAGGCAAAAAATATGGGAATATTTAAAGTTGCTATTTTTATTTTCGATATTGTCATGGGTATTTTTTTTATTACTACAAAAGCAAAAGACGTTGATAAATTATATATTCCAAGGTAATTAATTTCTGAATTATATCAATGAGGAATAAAAAAAGAAAAAGATTTACAATCATAATTTTTTTTTTTAGTCTTGTATTTTTTATAGGTCCATTTATCATAAGCGTAATAATTGCATTCATTATTATTAAAAAAGAAGAGGAGAATAAAAAATTTTTGGAATGGTCAAAAGATAATAATAAAGTTGTAGAAATCTTCACAATTTTAGCAGGAACTGATGTTGAAGCGTTAACTGAACTCGAATCAAAAATTTGGAATTTTGATTTTTTTAAAGCAGAATTTTCTAAAATAGCATTGCGTAGAATGTTTTGGGGATCTTGCTTTAACATTTTTTTTGAAGATATTCCGCAATTAGTTATTCAGGTATGAAGTTTTTTTTTTTTTGCATTGCAACCTTTCTTTATACATTTACAAAAATTAATTTAAGAAATTTCAATAGATTATATATTTTAGAAGTGTGGTAAATTACGATGCTATACCTTTATTAACACTTTTATCGTCTTGTCTATGTTTGCTTAGTAATATTATTGGAAGATTATACAGATTTAAAGATCATGGTAGAATAACTTATGGAGGCTCAGATAATTTTATGGATGAAAAGTCAAATGAGAAAACTAATGATATTGATATGTTATTCGAGGATAAAGAAAAATAAGTATAAAGAAAAAAAATAAGGCTAAAATTTTCTTAACGTTTAGATACTTTTCTTTTTTGTATATTTTTTTTTATTTAATAAATTATGGTTGTGTAACCGCTTGTATATTTTTTGATATTTATTTTAACATAGCATTACCTGCTAAGTAGGAAAAAATATTTTTACTTTATCTTAGATAATTTTAAAGCAATTTATTCGCATATTGCACATAATCTTGGAATAAGTATGATGTCATATAACATATCTATCCGTCTATTATACATAAATTTGTGACTTAGTCGTATGGATTGTTCATTTACTATATTATTTTTTTCATATATATTTAAATTCATCTGAATTCGAGATTTAAAATCTGTTTATTAACGCTGAATGATTAGAAGTAATTTTCTGCGCGTTTCACTAGCGTTATTTTGTTATTATTATGTTATTTTACACATCGTTTAACACTTTTAAATTTATGTCAATGAAATGTCAATCGATACCACCTCCTGAAGGTTGCACTACGTATTTATACGACCAAACTATGTTGTATCCCGCATGTATATTAAGGATGATTGGTTCTTCATATTTAAAATAAATAAATAATAATTATTGAAAGGTTCTTATGATAATTTATTTGATTTGATTTATTTAATCCAATCAATAATATAGTTAGATTTATGAAGTGAGAAGCGTAAAACAAGATTTTTAAATCATTGTGCGTATACCACCAAACAAAAAATAAATTGTTGCAAAAAGGGACGAAAAAAGGTGATTTGAATTTAATTATTGATTTTCAATCAATTTCGATGTTTTAAAATTATTAATTGAGAGAGTCCTTAAAAATAAAAATCTTTTTAAATTATATTTTGATTAGATTTAACGAAAAAATGTTAAAGGTAACAGATTTTTTTCTGCGCCGTACTCTCGATAATATAAAAGGGCATATCCTTTCATTCTCGAAAATATCCTCAATAATTCGTTCGTTTAATTAGTTATTGTTAAATGAAAATTTAAAATTTTAAACTGTAATTAAATACAACTTTATTTTTATGTTATGTAGTGTAAAAAATAAATAACTTGTTACACGAACCGAAAATTCCTGTGCGACGATTGAGCATGCTTCGATTTTAATGTATCTCAAATTACGATTTAATAAATTCTTGGCAACAGAATTAATTTAATTAAAGAAACATGTCGTTCAGACATAAAATAATGTTTGCGTTATGACATGCACACTTTTTTTATTTTTTTTTTTGTTTGTTACTCTACATATTTAGGTTAACATGAATTATTTGGAATTCTTGAATTATTGGCGCCAAAACTTGTTTATAATATTGCTCTTTAAATTCAATAAATTTTTTTTCGAGAGAACTTAATTTATCCGAAAATCACAAAATCTCGCGGTTTTAAATGCATCATAATTTTGTAACTTGCGAAAAAAAAAAAGATAGATAAAATCACGTAAGTTGTCGCTGCTTTATAAATACATTATTGGTAATCAGACGAATCAGACGGCGTAAATATCACGTAAAATGCAAAGCATCATTTCCATCAGAAGTGTCATGTATGCGCTTTGCATTTTAATTTATTATCTAGTTCTTTTCTTACTCGTGAAAAGTTGTAACCATGGATGACGTAACCGGATAACTTCGCTTGAATCCTATCTTGTGATACCTGTCAAACTCAGTAAGACAGAATCATTACTTTTCATAAAAGTAGAAAATGATTACAGATTTGTAAATTAAGCAGATGCAAATATATGTTAAATTCACTCTATCTATGTATATATATGTTCAATTCTTTCCTCCGAACATGAAATCTGCAAGAAAGATAATCGGAAGACTATTAAAACGCTTTGGTAATTGCAACTAATGAACTAAAAATACTTAAAGGGACGTAAACATTTCTTTATGTGCTTCGTGGCAATCTCAACTTCCTTCTCAGCAAGGCTCATACAGGAATCTGACTGGTACTGGTAAAGGTTTAGTATTCCAGAAGCCTCAAGCCCGAAATCAATAACAGAATTTGATTCACTAACCAAATTTAGTAATACATTAGACGATCATATTGTTTTAAAAAATGATTTTGACCAATCCGAACTTGTGTATCAACATAAATGTTCAATTGTTCCCCGACATTTGATTGATTGATGATGTTTTGGAACAACACGGAAATGAAATGAATACGCAAAAGAATTAATCCATAAATAAACATGGCACAGCTAAATTAACATCCCCATTTTATAAACTAAATAATAATTGGGTAATTTAATCCTTCACACACTAATATATCAGTCTAACTTTATCTAATTAAATACAATCGGAAAGTTTTTTTTTAGTTTTACTTTAATTGGAACTAAATTTATTTATTTGATAAACAACAACAAGATGATGAACATGAACTAAACCAAATGGGTACGAATCATACATAAATTCACCATTTTAGTTTGAGAACCTTTTTTTTATTTTTGTGAATTATGATTTTAATAAATAAATAAAAGTTTCGTTTTGGTAATTAATTAATAGAGAACAATGGAAAAAATAAATGCCGAGAAATAAATGAAAGATTATCAATAAATGCAGGAATTAATGAAACAAAAGTACAGTAAATGTTACATCATTGAGATTATCGTATGAGAAAAAAGGTTTTTTTTCAATGAATATATGTTATTGTGATAGACAATATACATACATATGGGCGGTGACGGTTAAGCATTACTTTCTAAAATTATAATTTCCATTTTTTTCTTTTTTTCTTTTTTTCTTTATCTTTTAATTCATACAAGGTTTACTAGTTATATATGTATATAGGGAAAAATAATCCATGGAAAGAAAAATTCCAAAAATTTTAAGATGAGTGAGCAATGTAAATTGTACACTATTAATACTATTAATAAACTTTGTTTAACACCCCCTATTTTAATAATAAACCCAATTTATGTGAAACGTGTGATTATTTAATTTCTTTATAAATAGCATAATAATCACAATGAATTATTTTTAAACGGAATTTTTGTTTCATTTAAAAATATTTTTCTTCATAAATACATTCGTGTATAATTTTTTTTTTCAAGGCTGAGTTATTACGCTGATAAAAGAAGTGTCTACTTCAACTCATGATTACAATGAAAGGCTTTCAGCTACTATGTATTTCGGCACTTTTGTTAATGTCGGTGGTTTCAGGGCAACTTCAAGGAAAATTCTCAGAACAGGACGAAGAACCAAAATCTAAGACTTATCAATTAAGAACCGCCGATGATATGACGATTTTCGTTGAAGAAAGAGGAGATGTCTCGAATCCTACGATAATTTTTACACATGGATATTTTACAAGTAGATTGGCGTGGGAAACAACATTTACATCAAATAGACTGAATCGTTATCATTTAGTAAGATGGGATTTACGTGGCATGGGAGATAGTAGCAAAGACACCGATTTAGATAAATATAACAATCTAGATTTGTACGCTAATGATGTCAAATTAATAGTTGATGATGTTTTAGTAAAAAAGGGAAATGCGCAAAACAATCAAATTTTTCTAGTCACTTGGGGTACAGGATCTATTGCTACCTTATCATATTTTAGAAATTTCACAACTGCTGGAGTTAGTGGATACGTTAGCGTTGCAAACAATTTCCAAAGTTTTAAAGTGGATAATATATTTACTGAATATAGCAGGGTCACTATTGGTGGTGTGGTCACTAGCGAAACATATATGCTTATCTTGGATTCACTTAAAAATTTATTTAATAGATTTACTTCCACAACGAATCCACTGCCTCCACCAACCCTAAGTTTCTTTATAGGAATTGGTGCATATGCTCCTACAGAGTCTCGTCTCGCTTATGGACGTAAGTTCTTAACTATTATTATTATTATTCTTCTTACTATTATTAAAAAATAATTAATTTAATTTTTATTTCTCATTCGTTTCTTTTAGAGCTTGATTATAATTTTACAGAAACATTTACCAATCTCAAAATTCCAACCTTAAACATTTATGGAGACGGCGATCAAATTGTTAATCCTGTTCATAGCCGAAGCGTTGCTGCTTTACGACCTAATGATGTTACGCATGAATATCAAGGTGTTGGGCATGCTCCTATGTGGGAAGTTCCTGAAAGATTCGAAAATGACTTAGATAATTGGATCGGTACTATTGTCAATCCAAAAAATAACAATAAAGAGCCTAATGAACAACCAAAACAACCAAAGCAACCTAAACAACCTAAACAACCTAATCAACGACGAAGACGATGAATAAATGTAAATTACTTTAAAATCATTTGAATATATATATATATATATATATAAAGTTATACTGGCTTGCAATGATTTTTTGAAAAATTCAGTTTTTCCAGAAACTTTATAACATAGATTTATTAAAAATTAATTAATCTTATTTTAATTATAGTTTTCGTTAGGGACTTTTAATCAATAAATTTAAATCCTTTATTAAAAAAAAAAAAAAAAAAAAAAAAGTACACCTTTTATTTATTACGTTGCAAAGATTGAACTTTCCGAAGCGGATTATATAAAAAAGTTTGCTCCTTTATTTTTTTTTGGGAAAATAAAATATATATTGGTTTAGAATCGTATGGCTTAGTCCAATAAGCCGCAATTTGTCATACATTGGGTGAAAACGGGTAATTTCGGTAAACCCAAATTAGGTTCTAAATAATATTGTATATCCGAAATTGAAAAGTAAAAGATGACCTGATTTTTTTTATATCACATTTTTCCCACTTTTCTATAATTATTTATTAAATTAATAAACAAAAAGGAATGTTAATTACATATGTACGAAATTAAAAGAATAGTTCTAAAATTAATTGTAAATAAAATTAATTGTAAATAAAATGAATGTTTAGGGGGAAAGGAGTTTTCATGACAAATGATATGTTTGATATATATTTTAGAATATCCGTTTTTTTTTTGGTTGGCTAGCTTTCACCGGCATCACGCTTTCCAGGGCCTCTGTAAACATAACCTTTAGCCGTTTGGTCGACATCACGCTTTCCTGGGCCACTGTAAACATAACCTGGAGCTGTCTGGTCAATATCTTCTACGACATCACGTTTTCCTGGGCCACCGAATCCATAAAAATCAGTCGTCCGGCCATCACTTTTTCCGACATCACGCTTTCCTGGGCTACCGTCCCATTCATTTTCAGGATTTGGCTGGTCAATATTTTCTTCAACGTCACGCTTTCCCGGGCCACCGGCCAAATTTTTGAATTCATCAATTTGAGCTTGGGTTGGCTGGTTATAACGTTTTCTCATTTTTCTTCCAGGATTACTTTCAAAAGCAGTGAATTTTTCAAGGTATCTCTCTGTGAATTTATTCGATCCAGTTGCATCGCGCTTGACTAAAAATGAAAAAGAAAAAGAATTTAGAAAATTGAAAATTAAAATTTAAAGAGTATAAACAAATTACCTAATCTGAACTTACATTTAATATCTTCCTCGGAGATTTGAATCGGCAAAGCCAAAGCAGTGGAAACCAATAGGGCAATTAAAATTAAAGTAAATTTCATATTTGTTGGCGTAAACCAAAAAAGAGAGTGTATTTTTATTTTTTTTAATTTTTTTTTGAAAAAAAAAAAAAAAATATTAAATAAAATATAAATATAAATAAAATAAAATAAAAAATGAAAGGAGTGTATAAAGAAAACATTCAAATTTTTTGTGAAGAACAGCATTATTTATAGAATTCTTCATGATGTTGGACGACGTTCTGTTTATTTCACAGGTTTAATTAAATTTACTATTCTTTTTTTAAACAACAACCTTCTGTAAATCTTTTTTTTAAAAAATTCAAGGTGTGAACCGATTTTGCATGTACAGCACATTTAAGAAAATTCTCTAGATGTGTAACAACGCAGGATAGATTTATTCACAAATATGACAAATTTATTGGTTTAGGAATTGCATCATAGTGAATTAAAAGGAATAAAAATATGAAAATCACGTTCTTTTGCATCTAAAATTAGATGTAAAATGAAGCTCCAAGACAAAACAATCTTATTAGAAAATAAAAGAAAGATATAAAGCCAAGAACAATTAAATGATCTAACTTAATAAAATGTTCTCAAACTATTAACGTTTCGCTTATTTTTTTTTTTTTAAAGGAAAAAAAAAAAATTATTATTGGTGAATCATTCCAATATGGTAATTGGTCGTTTTAAACTTTGTTATAGTTTCACCAGTTAAATTATATGCAAGATTACCAGTCAGATGAATTTCTTATTTAGGATGCAAAATAGTGGATTTTTTCCCATTATACATAGTTTTATTAAAACAAAATATGATGAATATACGTAATTTAATTTATCTCTTGCACAAATATTTTCGAAGAGAGAAAAGGACAAAAATAACACTTTATTTTTCTTTTTTCTTTTTTCTTTTTTCTTTTTTTTAAAAAAAAAAAAAAATTTGAGGCTTTTCTATTTAATTTTCCCAAAATATTTGAAATTAAAAAACAACCAATAAAAAAGAAGCAAGTATTTATTATTATTGCGTGATGATTTGCCGGGTTTAATTTGTTCAATGTATCTGCAATATTGTATTAGATTTTTTTAAAACAAACATAATATTCGACTATCCACAAATATGAAAAATAAATGAAAAAATGAAAATCGAATGAAAAAAAAAAAATGAGCGCGCTTCAAAAATAAGCGTCCCCTTATAATTTATAATATTAAATTAATATTAACCAACAAATTTAATAAAACATTAATAAGTATAATGATTTGTTTATTTTAATTTTCAATTAATATATCAATTCCTTTACTTCTTTTATTTCAAAGAAGAAAATTTATTAATCTAAAATAAGTTTAATTGTTTTATTTTGTTTAAAAGCTTTATACCAAATGTTTAATTTTTAATTTTTATAATTTTTCTTAATCACTTTTTAAAAAATTATGCGACTATTAGTTTACTATAAATATTAATTTTTAAATTTATAAACTTAGCGTTAGGCCGCATTTTCGGTTCACGTAACACATTAAAATTTTAAAATTGACACGGGAACCCGGGTTTATTAAAAAAATCGAAAAATAATTGAAATATTCAACTAATAAGAAAAAATTTTTTTTATTAATAAAATCAACTTTGATGCTCTAAGAAAACTTATGCATTGTAAATAAATAGTATGTATCTTGAAAATTGGACTTTTATTACTTTATTAATTAAAAAATTGCATTTTTGTGAAAATTTTCAGCTATAATAAAATTGCAAATTTTTTGGTTTAAAGCTTATTTTAGTAATTAAGTAAATTTATTCGATATAATATGGTGCCGGAAGTCTATACTCAACAATAAAATTGTAACACTTAAAAATCTTTCAAAATTTTAAAAAAATAAAATTTAAAAGAAATAAACCGGTAACTTTGTTCTTTATGATAAGCTCTATTAAATTACCGGTTAGATTTTTAAAATAAGTTCTAGATAAAAAGTTAT